TTTCATCCTGGACACTACAGAAAATGGGCTTAAAGTGTTAAAAACCGGAATTCTCCTTTAAGGAGCTTCAAATTGCCTATAAGAACTTGCAGTTTAACTATTTGAAATAAAGTTGGTTGGAGTAAACCACACAGCATGCCACAACTGCCAAATATGGAGGTGAAGGAGTGGTGGTGTGGGTTTTTCATTTACTTTTACTGTTCTTTCTTCTTTTCAACAAAACTTTATTTGTTTATAAGCATTAGTATTAATGTGCACATATACACGTTTTAATGTTCTCGATCATCATCTTTATATAGGGTAGGTTTTAGTGCAAAGAACAAAAAACTCAACTCATTCTCAACCTGATACAGAATAACAATTTTTTTCATTTGGCGCTTTTATGAAAAGCAGCTTTGTTTATTAGAGAATATCCAAAGTGCTGCCATAGATTTGCTGCAGTACTACAAGAACAGGGATAACAGTTACCTCTCTTCCTGCTGTAGTCCTTCCCTTTCTTCGATCTCTTCTTGTCCTTGTGGTGTTTTCTCCGTCGGTGCTCACTTGAAGCTGCAGACATTTCAGAGCAGTCTGATCCCTCTGATCCGCTCTCGCTGCTGGCCGAGGAGGAAGAAGAAGCTCTTTCCCTCTTTCGAGATTTGCTTTCTGAATGCTGTACTTTGCTTGGCTTAGGAGCTAAAGAGGTACAACAAAAACACTCAGTCCATTGAGACACTTTTTTTCTGCTTGACTTTAAGCATTGACTGACCTTCAGCAGCTGAGCTGGGTACAGCAAATGGTGCAACGGAACGATTGATTGTGAGATTTTCGATCTGACTGCGCAGAAACTTTCGGTCCTGCATCAGGTCCTCCACCTGCCGCTCCAGTGTAGCAATGCGCTCCTGTTTGCTCTCCAGCATGCACTGAAGCTTTGTGATGGTTAGCAGCACCCTTGGCGGTAAGCCCTCAAATGATGAAGCTGCAGCGGACAAATTCCATCAGGTGAGGAAATATCAAATGCCAATAAATAAAAGTATTTTGTTAGAATTTGGTACAACTTGAATAAAATGACAGAAAACAAACAAAAATGCATTAAAGCTCATTCAGATGATATACCTTTTATTGGATTAAGTTATAAAAATGTGTGCATGGCTGCTACCAGCTGATCTAAGCAGCTCTCACCAGACATGGCGCTGCTAGGAGTGTTGTCCTGAACGGCATCGGAGGAGGTTCCACCTTGGAAGTTCTCCCATTTGATAATCCGGAGCTCATCCTGCTCTTGTTTCAGCCAGCTAGAAGAGCCGAGCCGGTCCTTGGACCTGACGGAGCTGGAGTCGATCTCCACACATGGAGAATAACAAGCTGGCTCCTGCTGCCACATGGACGACATCTATTCTAGCCAGGGCACAGACAGAAAAAAAAAAAAAAAACATTTTCTGAAGTTATCAGGACATTTTTCAGTTTTGTTTTCTTACAGCTATATATTGTTTTTATATTCGGTGTGTTAAGAGCGATCGAGTCTGCTCAACCACCCCGAATCAGGAAAATCCAACATGGTAAACTGTCTTGGTCCAATATCCTGTAGTGTTTGGTGTTTAAATCAGATGCTGCAGATGGAAAACCTGAACTTTTGCAACTAAACGCAGACACCACCTCAAAGCTTGTGGAACTTTAGCCAGCCGCCTGCCGCAGTGGCAAGCAGCTACCACAAGGTGTCTCTAAGACAGCTGGCCACCTGGCACTTCTATTGCTGTTTAAGGGCCAACGGTTTGATTATGGGGTTATTTAATACATGTTCTATATTTACTTTCCATTAATGATGTGCTGAATTCACATCATTTCAAAAACATTTTTAAACAATTGAATTAAAAAAATGATAAGGTAACTGTGTGAGTTGTTTGACTTGTGATAAGAAAAACTAAATGCAAAGAAGATGAAAGCGAGGACACAGTGGCAGCAATGGTGGCTAAGACCTTTTCTCATAGAAGGCAAGAAGTTATCTGAGATTCACCCATGATTGCCGTTTTTAAAACCAGGTGGCCAGCTCCCTTCAGTTTATATGAGGTAACTGAATAAACAATGTTGTACATATTATATGTACATACATTAAATTCAATAATAGTTTGGAAATATTTTTGGGGGGGTTATTTCTCCCTTGTATTAATTACTGTTGCATCATGTTTCAAGCCTGATTTGCCACCATCTCAAGTTACAACATAGGGATTAAGCTATAGTTGAATGGGAAAAATTGCTAAATCTGTAGGTAGAACTCAAAAATGTTTCCAAATTGTTTTTTCAAAGATTTGGTGGACAATTACAATTGTTATACTAATGGGTTGTTTTAGTACATTGATGGTTAAATTCCTCTTCTTGTGCCACGTTAATTGCTGAGTTCAAGAGGATAACAACAGTCGGTTTGCTGCCAAAAAAGACCAAGAGCATCCTGATGCCTCTGACGTAAGTAAGACATTTTGGAACGAGGGGGAACTTTTTCACAGTATAAAAAAATTATTTGTGATTCTAGGTTTTGGTGGATTGAATGTGGAAATGTGCCGGCCTGGCAAAATATATTTGCTTATATTATCCTTGTGCCTGCGGTTTGGATTTCGTACATGAAAGACGCCTTCCAGCCGCTGATTTATTTTATTTTTCTTGTATGTAGTTGTTTTGTAAAGTCAAATGTTTTTCTTTATTTTCCTCTTCTTTTGCAATGAAATTCAATCTTAAGGAATCCTGTTTGCTGTTGTTTATCCACCACCTGCTCCCAACATGATATCAAGTGTCACAAAATAGGTTGAGAAATCTTTACATTCTTTAGAACAAATGATGTCATAAATTGACTTATTGAACTAGTGATTTTCATACGACTGAAAGGACTCTCGACAAGTGATTGAAAGGCGCTATTGTTTTGTATCATTTTAAAATATAGTTGTACCTACCGCATTAAATTGTTTCACCTACACTGCAATCAAATATGGATAAATATGTAGAACTAACCTTAAAAAGTTATGTTTGAGCTACCTGTAGTAATTAGCTAACTGTAATGCCAACTTTTGTTTACTCGGTATGTTTACATTAATTTCACTCAACAAAACTGTCCTTTGCCAAATGAGCATGTAATAATTGGGTGGAAATGCTTTCCATAAATTTTGTATGTTAAACCAACTGATTATTAAGTTTGGCTTAACCCTTGTAATTGAGTAATAGAAACACCAACACCTTATGTTGAACCAGCATGTTTACACTGATGTCAACCAAAAGGAAAACATTCTTGCTAAATAAACATATTATGATTAGGTGGGAATACTTTCCATTATTTTTTTATGTTCACCCTACAAATTCTTTTGACAGTAGCATGGTTCCTCTGAACATAATACTCTTTCCTTAATTAACTACGTGACCTAGAAATGATGCCTTTATCGAGTTTCCTCCTATGGCTTTTTTCTTCAGTGCTGTTAAATATTAACATTTATTAATAACTGAAATCAAACAAAAATTTTCCTGCAGGGAAGGGAGCTCCGCATCAACTAAAAAGACAGACTACTGGGACGAAGTTAATAAATGATTAATGATTGTTATGGAAGACAGTTGCTTTGTTTCAACACAGCAGGGAGCAGCTTCCACCTTTGTGCTGACTTAATCCACATCTGTAGAAAAGTTATCATTTTTCAATCCATAGTCACATGAAGATACACATTCCTAAAATATAATTTTCTTTTCCTGCTCCACAACCTGTTAATGGCATGGTCAGAATTATTTGCCATTTTTTTGTGTAGAAAAAGGTAATAAATAAACTTTACATGCACCTGAGGAGTTAAATTCAAATCAACCAAAAGGTCTTTATTTAATAATCTTTAGATATCTATACTACAGATAAACTAATAATAGGGCTTTCAAAGAAATATCACCAAACCTTAAAATATTGTCTGCTGTGATATATGTGGGTTATTTATTTCACATTGATTTGCACACTCATTTAATTAATATAATCTGTGATTGTGCTCGGAAAGCATGTTCCACGTTGGAATTAATAAAGTTAGGGTTTTCATGTTGCTAAATAGATTTTCTATCAGTTTTATTAGTTGGTATTATTTTAGAATTTTTCTTTTCTTGGGTATCGATATCGAGTTTGTAGTTTTAGTATTGTGAAAACCCTAAAAGTTGCAGGTATTTTTAAGGTCGATGCTAATGCAGATTATTTTCAGCTAAAACTAACTGATCCCCATTATTTGCTGCCGATTAATTATGCCAATTTTAGAAGCCAATATTGCTTTTTCCATCTGATTCACATGCCACAAAAAAACAAAACAAAAAAAAGCACAGTGATGACAAATGTCACAGAAGTATTGATTCAAACAAAACAGAAACATTTATTTACAAATAGTAAAAAAAAATAAAAATAACAATGGATAGCAAATATAGGGAGCGACAACACATGCGCTTGTGATCTCAACTTATTCCTGCTAAATGGACAAACAAATCAGCTAAACTAATGCAGGTATTGGTTAATATACACATACATTAAATTATATATATATATATATATATATATATATATATATATATATATATATATAAACCAATATTTTCACATTAAATTCATATTTGATGCATATAAATTTCGTTTACAGGGTTCCATATGTTAAATATGTTTGTGCTTATGGTGCATTCACGGACACAGGTGGTGCGTTCAGGTGTTTGATGCCTGGATATCAGATTACCGATGAAAAGCGAACGTTAAACATAAACAGACTAATTTATCATTAGTATATATTTTTTCTTCTTATAACAGGGGCTTAAAGTCACATTTATAGACAC